CCAAAAAAAAAAAAAAAAAAAACACTTTTGCAACTATGACCATCCACAATATCCCAGCATTTTAAAATTGCTTAAAAAGGACATGGAAATGAATAAAGTTTAGTTTATTAATTTATAAAACAAAACAACAGCACTAATCTGCTTATCGAAACTCAAATTGGAATCAAAAATGACACCAAGATTTTTTACGCAGTCATGAACATTTGAAGATAGAGAACCAAACTAATTAACTATGTCAGAGGTCATATCTGGTGGGGCGAAGATAACAATTTCGGTTTTGTCATTGTTTAGCTGTAAGAAGTTCATGTCCATCCAACATTTTATGTCACACAGGCAGTCAAACAGGCCAGACACAGACCCATTATTATTTTTGATAGGAAAGTCAGTCTCACAAAGTGAGTGTCATCGGCATAAAAGTGGTATGATAAATTGTGTCTCTGAATAATATGACCAAGTGGAAGCATATATAATGCAAACAGAAGAGGACCCAGGATGGAGCCTTGCATTAGATGTCATGGACATTTCTATAGCATAAACACAATATTGAAGTTCAATGATTTGCATTAGAAAATCATTTAATTCATGATATTAAATGATCATTTAATTAATATTGAATTGGCTAGATACTGTCCTTCAGTAAAGCGAAGCTTGCTAGCTACAGTATCGTTCTACTGAATCGTTCATTTGAGTCAATTCTTTTCAGTGAATTGGACAAAACACAAATTCTTCTGAAGGATTCATTATTGAATGAGTCTGAAAGTAGTTTCTCTTACTGCGTCGACTGTGATGTCATTTCTATTTTATAATAAATGCTGTATTGAACTTTCTATTCATAAAAAAATTTAAATGTATCACCGTTTCCACAAAAATATGAAGCAGCACAACTGTTTTCAACATTTATAACAATCAGAAATGTTTCTTGAGCAGCAAATCAGCATATTAGAATGATTTCTGAAGATCATGTGACACTGAAGACTGGAGTAATGATGCTGAAAATTCAACTTTGATCACAGAAATAAATTACATTTTACGATATATTCACATAGAAAATGGTTATTTTAAATTGTAATATTTCACAATATTGCTATTTTTACTGTATGTTGATCAAATAAGTGCAGCCCTGGTGAGCAGAAGAGACTCTTTTCAAAAATATAAAAATCGTATCAACCTCAAACATTTGAATGCCATTGTATATTAGCTGGGATACAATAACAGATCCAGCAGATCATCAGGTTGCTCTGTTTTTCTCCGTGGATCTCCAGGTGTTGTGTGTTCTGGGCGAGTCGTGTGGAGATTTCCTGAGGAAACGCGTATCTAAGGAGGTTCTGCCTCATCTCACTTCGTCTCTGATGAAGCAGGCGGAGGTCAGCGCTCGCTCCGGACCCATCTACACACACACACTGGCTTACAAACTCCAGCTCGCCGTGCTGCAGGGTCTCGGACCTCTGTGTGTGAAACTGGACCTGAGTAAGTCTGCACTTCCGTGTCCCAAACACATGCTGGAAACATGCCTAATGATACTGAATTGTATTTAATAATCAGCTTTTAAAGGAGATTTTTATATATATTTTTTATGCCAGTTATCATTTAATATATGTGACCCTGGACTGAGCACAAAAGCAGTCTTAAGTAGCTGGGGTATATTTGTAGCAATAGCCAACAATACATTGTATGGGTCAAAACTATCGATTTTTCTTTTATGCCAAAAATCATTAGGATATTAAGTAAAGATCATGTTCCATGAAGATATTTTGTAAATTTCCTACCGTAAATATATAAAAACTTAATTTTTGATTAGTAATATGCATTGCTAAGAACTTAATTTGGACAACTTTAAAGATGATTTTCTCAATATTTTGATTTTTTTGCTCACTCAGATTCCAGATTTTCAAATAGTTGTATCTCAGCCAAATATTGTCCTCCTATCCTAACAAACCATACATCAATGGAAAGCTTATTTTTTCAGCTTTCAGATGATGTATAAATCTCAATTTCAAGAAATTGACCCTTATGACTGGTTTTGTGCTCCAGGGTCACATATTGTGTAAAGAAATTAATACGTGCTAAACAAAAACATAACATTAATTTAAAAGACAAGGTTCAGCTAATTGTTCCATTGTCCCTCCCACATTAAAATATATTAAGTGGAATGAAAATGAATTATAATGATTAATTTAATGACGTATGTGCAAAGTCAGCATTATAACAAAATCATGCAAACACACAAATACGATACTATACGTTATTATAGTTTAAAATGCAAATCTAATTCCTGATATTCCTGTAGTATGTTCTGCCTAAATTATTACAAAAAACAAAAATACATCTACATTCAATAATGTGCTAAATTTCTTAGCTAAATATAGTATTCAACTAGAATAATGTAGGACAGGACCTTATTTTAGGATTTGAACCATTTTTGCTTGTAAAAGTGTTTTTTTTTTTAATATTATTTTTCATTGCCTGCATAAGCTTATGGGACAAGGCCATGGACAAAAAATGAGATGGAAACATTGTTATTTTTATCTTTTTAGTCCTTGATATACTCTTATAGATTTTGTTAATATTTTGATTTTATGTTTAGGTTCTGTTTTCACTGTAATATTAGTTAAAGGTTTAGTAATTTTGCTCTGGTTTGTCATTTTTATAACATTTGTAAAAAATATTTCTATATAGTTTATACATTTTTTTATTGATTGATTTTAGTTTATTTTATTTTTATTTAAAAATTTTAATGGTATTTTATTTCCTAAAATGTTATTATTTAAATTCTTAGAAATATTGCCTTGACACCTAGCTGAAATAAGTTTAAGTTTTATATTTTATTTTATTTCATTAAGTTTCAATAACCCTGAACAGGAGGAAAAAATGTGATTTCAATGCTTTTGCTTGCAAAGTGAACGCAAAACTAGGGATGGAAATAATGCGAGATGGAATTAAAAACTATTTCAGTGCTTTTGAGAGAAAACTACATTTTTGTTTTCTTGTTTCTTGGGGGAATGCAAAAGTGTTTTGAGTGCAAAACCACTGAAATAGTCATTTTTAATATTCTTCAATCATATTATTTTGTCATTGAGAAAACACATTTTAATGAAAGATCAAAGATTACATTTTTTTCCCCTTTAGAATAACATGCTGATAAATCGTGCACAACAATATCAGACATTGAACTGTACATTTTGTATGGTCTGAGAGTTGTGAGCATGTGATCACCACTAGATGGCAGTCTCGCATCACAGCTGCAGCAAACGCCTCCGAGTCAATCTCACCGTAACACATCATCATCATCACAGCTCCATCTGAACCATGATCTGAACACACACCGTCCTGAGCTGCTCTGTTCATTCCTCTGGAGGAGCTCCGAAGGTCTCTTTCGTATCGGCTGTTTTCGTTTTTCCTCACCCTCAGTGGGTTTTCTGATGTAATCCAGACACTTTGCAAGGAGTGAAACGGAAAAACCTCACATGCTGCAGTTTGGCTCATGCATTCAAGCTTAATGCATGTAAATATGATTGACTATTGACCAATAAAATATCACTTTCTGTATTAGCCTCAAGTCTAGCGACGTCTGGGAACACCGTGTTACAAACCAAACCATGAGAAATTTGAAGCCAGTGGTTTGTGAAATGCTGAAGTGATTTGTCGTTCAATTGAGCCGCCATATGGAGAGGATTCATCCAGAGAAAAACATTTGTGAGAGGAGGGAAATACTGATAGAGTTTCCATGGTTATGAGAGACAGACAGACATGAGAGGTCATGCTGTTTATTTCCCAGCTGGCTCTAGTGCTCTCTCTCTCTCTCTCTCTCACACATCATTGTTCCTCTTTATTATTCTCCATCCATCCTTCATTTCTCTCTGTCTCTGGTCTCGCCGTCCCTCTGCATTCACCTCCATTTATCTAGAGTAATGAGGCTCTACATCAGGCTGCTTAATTAATTAATTAGGATAATGCTGCCATGGAGACTATTAGAATATATTAGAACATCTGTGGCCATTATGACGCAGGCGTTCACTGTTTGCATTTCTGCTGTGAATTTCAGCGAATTCACTGGAGAATGCATTAAGGTTTGTGGGAATAGAGAATTAGGACAAATCTATAATAGTGTAATTGTCTCAAATAGTATTTGATCACGTAAAATATTTGCTTTACACAGCTGATTTTCCTGAAGCTGATTTGTATGTTTGGGACGAGTCTTTATTCAGTTCAATTCAATATGTGCTTTATTGGCATGACAATTGTTACAATGTATTGCCCAATGATCATTTCAGAATAGCCAAATTGATTAAGCAGCCTGACAGAAATATCAGTGTTTGTGTGTGTGTGTATATATATAATGTTTTATATTTAATACTTCTTAATATATTAACAGATATATATGCAACAAAAACATGCGTGTATATACATTTAAAAGTAGAACCAATTAACATTTTAGAATTCTACGAACAATTTATAAATAATAGTCTTTATTCTGAATGTGTGTTTGCAGTGGAGGCGGATCTGGATCGGGTGATTGACGCCTGTCTTCTGTACCTGAGCTGCCGGCAGCCAATCAAACTGCAGGAGGCATGTCTCAGGTAAAGCCCCACCCACCGCGAAACTGAATATTTCTTCATTTTTTTAAAGGGACTTTTACTTTATCAAAGTGGATTTAAAATCCCCCAGCATTATTTCTCTTTTATAAAAGTGATTCATTTTGAATTATTTGTTTATAGTCTCAGGAACTTGCGCAGACTAATATCAAAACTTTTTATTCTTGTTGTTGTTGTTGTTGTTGTTGTTATTATTGATTCATTCACTGTTTGCAGTATATCAATATATCTACCAATATTTGGTCATATTGGGATTAGACCAATAGAAAGAGATTGAAAGAGGTTTGACCAATGTATGTCAGACTGATTAATCAATTTGCTTATTCATAAATGATTGAGAAGCATTGACACAAATAAATAATATATACATATTATTACATAATATATGCATTTAATAATATAATGTATTATAATTTATAGAATACAATTTATAAATTACAATAAATAAAAATAGTATATTTAACAATATTTTAATCGTTTATATATATATATATATATGTATGTGCTGCTGTAAGTAGCCAGTCTCATATCCGGCTGTGATAGTATGAATTGTGGTGTTGTGTTCTCTGCAGTGTGTTCCGCTCACTGATGGATCTGGACTGTGATCTGTGCTGGTTCAGTCTGAATGAGCTGTGCTGTCCCGTCACGTACCAGCCGCCTCATCCTCATCTGCTGCCTGCGACGCTGACCGGATCAGACAAGCCCAGAAACCAGTTCACAGACAACATCCTCACATTACTTTAGTAGTCTGATGCCCCGCAGGAAGAGGATGCCACATGACAGTGCTTCATACATCTGAACGCTAGGTTTAAGATGACCAATGTTTGTAGGATTCAGATCTTCCCTGGCTGCACGTTTGACTGGAAGAACCTTTGGACGAAGCTGGAAATCTAATGTTTTCATATGATGCAGGTCGTTTTATATATATATATATATATATATATATATATATATATATATGATAGAACTGTTTGAGGGGGGAAAAAAACGAGCTTGTTCCCTAAACGTTTTTTAGAAATTACCATGTAAATGATATTTTCAGCCAAAATACCATAGTTAAATTCCTTTAAAAAAAAAACACAAATTAATGATGTTTTCAGCCAAAATACCATAATTATTAAATTGTTACTTCTCTAAAATAATAATAAATTAAAATGGGATCTTTCAGAATCTTTATTTTTTTTGTTTGGTTCTTTTTTCCATTTTTTCTTTGGATGACATTTGTGGCTAATGTCAAATTACTAGAGTTTTACTGTATAAATTATATGGTATTCTGGAAATACCATCATTATTATAGTTATTGTTACTTCTCTAAAATAATAAATTAATATGGGATCTTTTAGAATCATAATTTTTTGTTCTTTTTTTCTTTGGATGACATTTGTAGCTAATATCAAATTACTAGAGTTTTACTGTACTAATTATATGGTATTCTGACAGAAAACAATTGCATTTCTGAATATTTTCCAGAAGTTTTTGTTCAACCATTCTGAAAAACATAATTATATTCCTATAGCTGAATCCTCCATTTAATTTTGAAATGCCACTTGTTATTTACAAATAAATTTTTTTTTAAATAGCATACATATTGAGTGAAAAAAATTCTATTAATTTCCTGTTTATTGATAATTTATATATATATATCATTTATATTTATTAATTTGATAATTACTATTTTTTCATTGCCCATTAAAATAAAATAAATATTGTCCATTAAAATAAATACAATTATTAATTACTATATAATATTACACAAATGTATTAAGATTCATAAAGTACTTTATAAACAAAAATAGTAATTCTGCTTTTATTGTACAATTAGTTATTAATGAAATGCTTTAGTTCTATTATTATTATTACATACTGGTAAAAAATGTATAGCCTGAATTCACTGTAAGTCGCTTTGGATAAAAGCGTCTGCTAAATGCATAAATTATTAATTAATTATTATTATCAAAAGACTAAGGGTCCTCAATAGAATCCAGCAGGTTCTGGTCTAGCTGTGTGCTGTTGGTCCGGATCTTCTGCTCAGTCTAGTGTGGTCGCGGTTTCTTCTGTGACAGTCTAATAAATGTGCCGCCTGTGAGAGCCGCATTAAAGCTGCCTCATATGCTTTGTGTTAGGCTGCTGCTGTGTTATCTGTGCTGTACTTTGCTATTTATCCTGCTGCCAGGGCTGACAGAGGCGCTATTATTCACCGGGCCCCAGCGCCGGGGCGACCCGCTAACACGCGGCATACGGGGCTAATGCAATTTCCTCTCGACCGCTTCTGATAAGTGTAGAAGCATCATTATAGAGTCAAACCGCTTGACATGTGCTTTGTTTGAGGAATTCACCGCCGGTAAAGACGACAAAGCAAATTGAAGTGATGAAATAATGAAGTATTGAGGTGATTTTTGAGGTTAAAGGGGTCATATGATGTTGCTAAAAAGAACATTATTTTGTGTATTTGGTGTAATTAAATGTGTTTATGCGGTTTAAGATTCAAAAAACACATTATTTTCCACATACTGTACATTATTGTTTCTCTTCTAT